ATATAACCACTATATACAATTTATCATCTTACGCTACACAACATAAACTGGCAGCCTATTATAGTATGTTACATAGATCAATAGTAATTCCGATGCCAAAATACATCTTTGAGACAGAACTAAATATCATTAAGTAAATAGCAGCAAACAATGTCCCTAATAGCACACGTACGTCCAGTGGACGTCCATAGTACGTCCCTCACGGACTTTAAGGACGTCCCTCGGACGTCCGCTTTGGTCCTATTTACGTCCGTTTTACGTCCTATATTGGTCCGAATGTCGCTGCGCCGAACGTCCTATGGACGTCCATTTTACGTCCCGAGCGGACGTAAAATGGACGTACCGGGACGTTAATTGGACCTTAATCGGACGTTCATAATATGTCCAGAGGACTTACTTGACGGACTTTTGTGATATTTTCGGACATCTATTTTAATGTAAATTAAACGTCAACGCCATTGCATAAATTACTAAAAGTGGTGTCATCCTGTGCAATTAAGAATGTATTTTGGGAAATAAAACGTAAATGTTTAAAGAAACTTACATTAATTATTACATTTATTTATATTTATTTATTATTAACAAACGGGACAAATTCACTGTCAAAATTATGCAAAAATGCAACATTATAGAAATATAAAATAATTTTATGTAATAAAACATAAATGTTTAAAGGAACTAACATTTATTATTACATATATTTATTTATTATTAACAAATGGAACAAATTCACTGTCAAAATTATACAAAAATGCAACATTATAGAAATATAGACAAAATTACAGATAAAATAAAATATACATAAATAAAATAAATAAGTACACATTTATAATAAGTTTCATTTAGCATTTAAGTGCTTCAAATAGTACCTAAAGCTATTGATATAAAAGTTTTAGACCATCTCTATGTGTGAAACATAATTAGTTCTGCGGTAAGGAACATGGAAATGTAAATTATGACACAGTGAATGGGAAGGAATATGAAAACAAAATAGCTGAAGCAATTTAGTAGATTGGTTATTTTATAAACAAGTTGAAAAATAAAGATTAAAAGGTAACACTTTTGATAAAAAATCCAGATTCAAGAAATTGATCATATCAGAATAAGAATATGGTCTACACAATTTACAAGAACAGTTGATGCTTGTAGATAAGTTAGTATAAATCTAATCAACATAAAAATGGTTTTTAATGCAATTATAACATAATCAGTGTAAATTAGTTGAAGTTGAACGACTAGACAGTAAGTAAACCACCCTGACCAGTATGAAGCTGATTCTTGAAATTTGAAAAAAGAATGCACAATTCCCTAAAAATAAGTTAAGATATTATGTCTGGACCAAGACCTTTATTGGTATTAAGACACTGTAAGCATGCGTCACAAATTTTAATAGTTAAAAGAGTGAATATGGCTGTGACTGATATGGGATCTTTGACTACACTTGTCTACACAAGAAAAAGAAGGATTGCGAATACTGCTAAAGAAATTGACAAAATTGTTGAAATTGTGGTTCTTAAAAACAGAACCATTCAACTTCCCTTATCCCTTCCCATTCTGATTTCCCTTACAATTGTGTGGTCAGCAATTAAAAGCAGACAAGTCAATTGTTGAGTTTTAAAGTTGAAATCATAAGTATGAAAAAGATCAATACCTAATATGGAACTTTGTCTGTTTTCTTTCAACAGTAGATTAATTTTTAGGTATTTATTTTTAATATATAAAACAGTCTCAAAAATTGGACTGTTCCTTTATGTCCATGAACCGCACAATTTAATCATTACAAAATTAATCATATTTGCTAATGCAACATGCAAGTTAAATTTTATCTGCCCTCTCTTTAAATATTTCCTCAGATATTTTTCATTATCAAGTTTCAACTTCCTTCCCCATGGCAACGCTGGTTTTGCAGTTTTTCCAAGCAACATCTGAAAAAAAAATTATTGTACATTCATAAATTGAACAAACTAATTTTCAGATTTAGTTCATTATACTTTGCTTCTTTTGAATAAATCATAATTCAAAGTAAAATTAAACACGCGAATTTCAAGTGCTGTAGTTTTAATGAATCTCACCTGAATTAGAAGAATACCAACCCAACCATTGGTATTTATTTCTAATGACCAAATGAGCAGTAATTACACTTTTATACGGAAAAAATCAAAATAACTGTATAAATAAAATATATGGCCAACAACAAACCTTTATCTCATAAGCTAGCTGTAGTTCTTAAAGCAATCTCATAGCCAGACCTGAACATTTATGAGTTGGTAAAATTTGCCATCTAAATAACATATAACACACAGTTAACAATATGCTTAATCAGCTGCATGTGGCCACTTAAGTGATAGTGTAAATTCTTAAATGTACCTTAAATTGATTTATGTTTACAAGTTACAAACCTTTTAAAATCAGAGCTATAGGTGTGTCCTCAAAAGCTTTATATTGCTTTTTCCCTAGCCAACTATCTTGTCCTTGAATTTTATTCCAGATCAGCTTGTTATGGCTTCTCCTAACAAATTCATTTATGGTCTCCTCACCAATTTTCGAAAGCTCATTATCCTAAAATATAAATCAACATGTAACAGTAATCTAACTACCCCACAAACTTGACAATCCATGCTTAATTATTTTAGCTTAAACTATCTAATAAAAAAAAAGTCTCTGTTACAAAATCAATCAAACATTCATTTGCAAATTTTGGTTTCTCATAACCGTGGTAAATGCCTAATAAATCTACAATTTTATAATATATAAACAAGATAGGATATGACTGACTACTAAAACTCTTTTTTTAGTGAGATTCCATCAAAATGTACACAAATTTCTATAACATTGTTTTTTTGTGAAGATAAAAATACCATTGAAATTTGAATCATATGGATAAGGGTATGGGTGAAGCCAAGCAAGAAGGGTTCTAGCATTTGAACTCAAATGAGAAAGGTCAGGAACTTCTTTATGAATTTTTAATAAATCACCTACATAAGGGATTGGACAAACCTCGATGCCCATGCACTTTTTAGAGCCACACAAGATCGAGAGGAGTATGCCATAATTGTCGCCAACATCCACTAATTGGATAGGGCACCATAAGAAGAATAAATCACCTAGTATTAAAGGACAAAGTCCAGTTGAATAACTTATTAGAAAAATTAAAAACAATGTTTAGACCCTTCTTCAGTTTCATTGAAAGAAGAGCTTTGTAAAGGATCACCATCACCGGAATGGTCGTCCACGTGGTAATTTGCATTATTTTAGGTACTTAACATGTTAATAAAAAGTTTAAATCGGAAAAATGATCAGTCAGGGATTCCGAATAAAGGTTTGAAGGAGATGGAATATCGAGGTTATTAATATTTTCAACAATATTCTCTACGTTTTTCGTAACCTTCCTCTGTTGATGACGCTTAGAAACAAATCGTTTTCTTTTAAACATAATTAATAAGTAAAAAATTACACTTACCTTTAAAATAAAACCAATTTCTGAAGTATAACCAAAGAATATTCTTTGGTATAACCTAACATGTGGTACCATCAAACCTTTAACAATATACTATAACCACAACACAAAGCCAAGCATCAAAAAACCAATGCACTGTATACTGCTTAAATAGAATTCTTTTATTTCATTTATTAAAGCATTAATAATATAAATATAATTAAACTGTACCATTTGTTTAAATAGGTATATGACAAACAAGGACATTATCATCATTATTTTGTTCAGGTTAGGTTCAGCCAGAGTATATACAACCACTTGTTCATCTTTGAAAAATGATTTCAAGATTCATCTTGTTGATAAAAATCATATTTTTACTTATTAGAATTAGCAAACATATATCATCGTGATAATTAGAATAATAAAACAATTGTAACCAATTATCTAGAAATAAAATATTTTTACACTTTACCTTAAACAAAACATGTTTTGGATATATTAAACTATACAATTTTTAATTAATCATGATTTAACCTTTTCGTTTTTAATTATTTTATTAACGTAAATAATTTTTTATTTTATTAAAATATTTGCTATTTGATCCCATATAATTGGTAAATGTCAGATGTCCAGAAAACGTCCGAGTTCGGACGTCCAAGGAACGTCCGAGTATAGACGTCCATGGAACGTCCGAGCACGGACGTCCAGAGAACGTCCATATTTAGTCCACCCAAAGTACGTCCCACTTCGTACGTCCATAGTACGTCCATTTTACGTCCAGGGACGTCCGGACCAAAACTGGACGTATATTGGACGTCCATAGGACGTCGTGTGTTACTAGGGGTGTACAACGAAAAAACAATTAATAAAATTTTAAATCAAAAATACACGAAAAAGTCCTGAAATTAGTATTTGCCCCACCAGAGAAAAAACCCAGTACCTTATGCTCGATTACATATGCAGGCAAAATAACAACAAAAATAGCCAAACACATATGAAAGAATACAAACGAACACCAGCTTTTAGAATAAACAACAACTTAGGCAAATAAATTAAAAACAACAAGAGCCAAAATAAAAAGCATTTACACAGTGGTGTACACCGCTCAAACTAGTAAAACCTATAACAAACGTATAGCAGAACATAAAACGGCTTTTAATAATAGGAAAACAGATTCTACATGCGCACTTCACCTTCTAGATCATGATCATTCTTTTAATGGCGAATTTGAAATTCTTCACATTCAAAATAATGGCCTTAAGTTATCTTTATTAGAATCTATGGAAAATATCAAATTAAAAAACAGAGACATAATTCTAAATGACCAACTTGAGACAAACAGTTCTCCCCTCCTTAACATGTTTCGTTAAAGACTATAAATTGTAAACACATCCAAAAATAGATCACTTGAGAAAGGCACTCTGCCGAAACCGCTGTAGTAATAAAATATGTTAACAAATTTTGTGGAAGGTTTGAAAACAAAGTTTCAGTGTTTTATTGTTATATAAAATGAATTTTCATCAAGTTATGTTCGAATTCATCACTTAATAAAAATTTAACTTACTTGTCTCCATATAGCTTACAACTGACTATATAACCAGTTGCAACAGTATAGTATAATTGATTTTCGAAAAATTTAAGACCGTCTGGTTGAGAGATGTTTGAAAATACAGTTTTAACAGGTCCTCCTTTGTAGTTTACTTCATATATACTTTCATCTTGTTTATTAGTGTAGTATAAAAGTTTCTTGTTAATATCGAAAGTTATATCTTCAACATTACCTAAAAAATCAACACATATAAATAAATTAGTACAAATTTATTTTTGCTTGTAACTTTTCTTAGAGATTATATGCTATACTGTAAAGAAATAACGTTCTTCGAGTTACCATAAGCTACTATAGCGATTAACTGGCTATTTAATGTATTTAGCTACTTATGTATTTGGTTGGATGAGAGAGAAAATTCTAGATATCATGGAAGAAAGAAGAAATTTAAAGAATAATCAAAGAGAACACAAAGAAATAAATAAACAAATTAAAGGAAATCATGAATACCAAAAATAAATAAATAAAAACTGCGAGAACGCAGAACTGCTACTTGTAAAAAATGCTCTTTCAACTTTTATCAAAAACTCAAAGAAGAAATAAAAAAACCCCTACCAGAAAAAATAACTAATAAAAAATAGCAAAAGACAATAACATCATAACAGATCACAACGAACTATGCAAACTTTGACAAACATATATACTAAACCTTTACTCTGACGATCTTAACTTATAACATAAAATTATATAAGAAAATGGTATACTAAGTTTTGTCATAATGTAAAACAGAAAACAAAATCTGTTAACAGAAAATGTTATAGAAATTAGAACATGTCCTATTTTGATACCAATTATTAGTACACACGCATGCGCAGTTACAATTTTGTATCTTGTTTGGTAATATCTTCTCGAATCAGTTCAAGAAGTTTATTAAATTGTGGCTTACACATTCTTAAAAATTGTCTATATTTTTCAGAATCATTGTCTTTTAATTCAGTTTACAACATATTTAAAACACAACGACCTTCCTGTCTTTTTTGAAGCCAAGCTCTAGACCACATAATTTCGTTGGCGTTTTTTCTTGCTTGTCTGAATTAAAAGAAATGTAATGGAAGCAGCAGATAATAGGAGAATTTTTTTATCCATCATAAATATATACATGTCTTTGTTAAAGCAAAAGTAAAACGAGGGTAAAACTAACTAGGTATTTACGTGGGTAAAAAACTAGGTTAAATGTTGAAGAAAATGAGTTTACGTTACAATAACAAAAAGAAGAATAAGAACATTGAGGTTAACAGAACATGTACACCAACATAATAATTTTAAAAAAGGACTGTTTTAGCATGTAATGCGCAGAATCACATAACATATTTTGATACCAAAATGTGACAATGTAATACACCAAACTTCTTGTACTAATATTGTACACAATCATTTCATGTAAGTTTTTGTTATACCATTTTCTTATATCATTTTATGTTATAGTCTAAAACATACTTTAGATACTAGGAATAAAAATATATAATGGACCACCAATATTAGAATCAGTTCATTCTAATATTGTCGCCAAAGTGGACGAATCACAGCGATTTATATTTGATGAATTTAAATTTAACTTTAGTAAAAAATCAAAAAACTATATATGGGTAAATATAAATATTACATTTAAGAACAGTGGTGGGCCCAACGGACCCGAATTGCCCGGCTACGTAAGTAAAATGTGTTGCCCGAATAAGGGTTAAAAAATTGATTACGCGCGGGGCGAAATGAACTGGTTGGTCGCTTTATAATAGCGTTGTTTTTGCGAAAAGGGTTCATTCTACACAAAAAAGGCTAATAACATTTTTGTCTGAAATTCATCATCATCATCATTAGTCATTTTGCGTCCACTGCTGAACATAGGCCTCCCGTAAATAATTCCATTGCATCCGATCTTGAGCAACTTGAATCCAGTTAGACTGGATGCGCTTTAAATCGTCCGACCACCTTGTTAGAGGACGTCCTCGACTACGATAAGCATCGTGTCTAGGCCTCCACTCTAAAATTTTCTTTGTCCATCTTCCATCTCTGACCCTAGCAACATGTCCTGCCCAGTTCCATTTCAGGGTTGTAATTCTTTCAACTGCGTCCGTCACACCAGTTTTTCTCCTTACTATCTGACTCGAAACTCTGTCCCTGAGTGATACGCCCAACATTGACCTGTGCCACTTGTATCTTATTAATTACTTTTCTGGTAAGTGTCAATGTTTCTGCTCCATATGTCAGAACTGGAAGTACACACTGATCAAAAACTTTTCTCTTCAAGCACATGGGAATAGCTGATTTAAAGACTTCCCTCAGTTTTCCGTAAGCTGCCCATGCAAGTCCTATTCTCCTTTTTAACTCTGTTGTTTGATTGTCTCTTCCCAATTTAATCTCGTGGCCCAGATACTTATAGGAATACACTTGTTCAATTTGCGTGCCATTAGTGGAAATGTTTTTTGCCAGTTCCAGGTTGGTCATGTATTGTGTTTTGGAAAAATTAATTTTAAGGCCAACTCGTGCACAAGAGCTCTGAAGGTCTTGAAGAAGTTGGCATGCATGATCTACCTGATCTGCAATAAGGACTATGTCGTCTGCAAACCTCAAGTTGTTCAAAAATTCCCCATTTATATTTAATCCAATATTTTCCCAATTATTTTTTCTCATTGCACTCTGTAATAGGGCGGTGAATAGTTTAGGAGAGATAGTGTCCCCTTGCCTAATACCTTTCTCCAAGGGAAATGTGTCTGTGTCACCATAGTACATTTTTACAGCAGCTGTTGCGCTATCATATATATTTCGAAGAAGAGTTGTGTACCTATGGTCAATACTGCACTCTGTAAGAGCTCTTAACATGGAGCTATGCTGGACTGAGTCAAATGCTTTCTCAAAGTCTACAAATATTAATATCAATGGCTTGTTGTATTCTATAACTTTCTCTGTCAAGGATTTTATTACTTGTAGGTGGTCATTTGTTCCAAAGCCACTCCTAAATCCGGCCTGCTCTAGAGGTTGATGAAAATCTAGCTTAGGTCCCAGTCTGTTAGTAATTATTCTCATAAAGAGTTTATATAAATGAGATAATAAGTTGATAGGTCTGTAGTTGCCAATTTCTGTTACATCTCCTTTTTTATGCAATATTATCATAATGGCATTATTCCATTTTTCTGGCGTATTTCCTTCAAAGAGGCAGGCATTATAAAGGGTTTTTAAAGCCTTTATGACGCATTCGCCTCCTAGTTTTATCATTTCACTTACAATGCCATCTTCTCCAAGTGTTTTGTTGTTCTTCATACCTTTTAATGCTGACTTAATTTCCTCTTCGGTTATATCTGGAAGTTCCTCTGACCCTTGATTTAGTATTGCTGGAATTTCTACTTCGGGAATGTGATCATCTCGACTTTATAATGTTCTATAGTACTCTTCGATGATTTTTAGTATCTCTTGTTGTTCATGTATGACATGTCCTTGATTATTTTTTAACTTATAAATATTCCTCGTTCCTATTTTCAACTTTCGTTTTAGAACTTTTAGGCTTTTGTTTTGTTCTACGGTATCAGTTATTTCCTTATGTCTTTCCTAATGGCTTTTGAAATAGTTTTGTTTAAATTCCTTAGCTCTGCAATGTTCGTTGTATGCTTTTCTTTCATTTCCCTTCTTTTTTGCATTAGGTTTCTTGTGTCTTCTGTGAGTTTTTCATTTTTTGTTGAGTGCTTGGCTTGGCACTTCTTCTGTGACTTCTTCAGGGCTTCTACCAATTTTTCGTTAAGCTGTTCAATACTGGTTTCATCTTGCAGGTCTTTCTGTAGATTACTCTCTATTTCTTCCTGATATGCCCTGGTGTTAGTAATCGCAGTGAATGTAACATTATTAGTCCTTGTTACCATATGTCTTCTGGTCTTCTACCTTGTCTGAAATTATCTAAATTAAATTTCTGGTTTAACATGTTTCTCTACGGCGTTAAGATTTTTGGTAAATCGATATTTTCCGACCGTGGTAGGAGTGGTAAACTTTTTTGCATCTTTTATAGGTTCCAACAATTAACATTCTTAGCAAAATTTAGCGTTTTTCTCTTGTTTTTAGAGATCAAATCTCTTAAGACTGGACTAGATATACCAATGCAGAAATAGTTAGAATAAGAATAAACATATTTAAATTATGGATGAAATTGAGCTTACTACGTGAAAGAAAGAACAAGATGATAATCACTAAAAAAATTATTATTGGATTTGTAATAATTTATTTGACTTTGCTTCATATCATTATGATCAGAAAACTCAAAAATGGTTGGAATATAATAACCTTAAAATTCCTTCAATAACTAACCCACCCGCCAACCGGAAAATCAAACTTGACCAATTTAGTTTTACTATCAATAAAATTGTTATATTAAAATGTTGTTTCTTCTTCATGTGCCGTGCTCGATTATGGAGCGCTGGCTATCAAATTGGCTATAGTAACTTTGTTAACGGCAGCTCGACAGAATGTTGTTACTTTTGTAAAACAATGTTTTCTTAACATATTATATACTCTACATCGTATTACTAACTAAAGAAAAAAATACGCACCTGTTGTTGTTTTTACTATTTCTTGTCTATTAGATCCATCTAAGTTTACACTGTATATTACGAAGCTTGGTGTTTCTAACACCCACCAATGTCTTAAAACGTAGAAAAGTTTTTTATTAACGGAATCAACAGCTAAGGCAGATACATGTCGAGGCGATTCAATATTTATTAACTTGGCACACTTTTCTTCAAAACTGCAAACACTAATGGACCGGCCATTATAATCAGTATCGAAGTAGTAAATGTTTTGAGTGGACCAATCAACTGCAATTTTTCTAGGAAAACCTACGTTTCTGATATAGTGCATCGTGTTTGTGGTGGTATCAAGTTTATAAATAGCTTGAGTTTCGTAAGAACCAAAGAAGATTAGTTTTGGTTTAATCAGAGTATCCAAGCTCGAGATTTTTATCATTGGATTGGTGTAAACAACAGCCATTGTATTTGATTTAGGAATTAGTTGACGGATTTCGTTTCCGTAAATCACTAAGTATATGGTCATTCGTGGTCCGTGAGCCTTACAAGATTTTTTATCAGAGCTAGAATGAAAAAAAATTACAGTCTACAACAAATCACTATATTTAAAATTATAACAGTATTTGTATTATTCAAGAACATAATACTCTAGGAGCCAGAGAGGTTTGAGTATGCACTTTTATGTTTCCTCAGTACCTTGACGTTTTTTATGTTTTTTGGTGCGTAGATTCTATTTTTGAGGATACCTAGCTGAAAATCCGTCAAATCATTTGTTATTAACAATTTAATTGTTAAAATTATTGTATTCGCTAAACTATTACCAAAATGAAACTTAATCATTTTGAAAAAAATTAACAGCCATCGGTCAATCCTGATGCGATTGTGAAAGCCGGAGTTATAACAAAGTTCGTAAAAATCAATTACAAAATGGGGCTGATTGCAAATGCATTCGATGGGGCTCCAAGTGTAGATTAATTACTATTTAAATGGGAATAAGCCACAATTAAAGGTTAAAGTACGTTTATTGACGATTCATTAAAATAGTAATTACTTGATGATGTAATTACTAAAATGCCACAAGAAAATAGCTTCAGAAAAATATTAAGTTAGTAAATATTAAGTTAAAAACAATAGTAAGTCTTTTGACTAACTCTTTCATATTTACTACAGTTTGCATATACCGACTTCCGGATACAGTACTTACTCCAGACAATACGCTTATTAACAAACTTGAGGAATTATCGGCCCTTGAAAATCTCATTGTTGTTGGAGATTTCAATTTTCCGGAGAAAAGCTGGCCCAATATTTCCAAAACTAATACTATCAATTCCCAAAATTTGTTTACAAACTTTATCATGAACTCAAATTTATTACAACGGATAACTGAACCTGCTAGTTTTAGTGCTAACAATAATCCTTCATTTTAGACTTATTTTTCAGAAATGACGATCAACTAATTTCTACACTTGAAGGGTTCTCTCATGTGGGTCTTTCTGTTCACTTGTTTATTAATGCTCACATTTAATTTAGTTTAACACCGCCTTGCAAAAATATTTTTGTAACGTATGCAACAAAACAACATGTAACGACAAAACAAAGATATTAAGCAACAGCCTAGAAAACATCACAATAGATAACATCAATATAGAAAAGGTAGACCAATATATATATATATATATATATATATATATATATATATATATATATATATATATATATATATATATAGTAGTTTTGAGTTTCTTTGAACCGTATTATATTTAATATAAAATTAATATTTCTTGGGTTAGGTTCAATAAAGATATGTTACATGTGGAACTAGATTTTATTTTCCATTGCAATTAATCAACGTTTCGGCAGAAAACCATTACATTACATTACAACCATACACATTTTAGAATCTTGACAAAGGCAAGGGTTTTCTGCTGAAACGTTGATTAATTGCAATGGAAAATAAAATCTAGTTCCACATGTAACATATCTTTATTGAACCTAACCCAAGAAATATTAATTTTATATTATATATATATATATATATATATATATATATATATATATATATATATATATATATATATATATATATATCGGAAAAAGGAGTACGACCGTCAATCCAATATATATATATATATATATATATATATATATATATATATAAGGATCACTCAAACGAGTGGTGGGTTCTTATATCGGTCTCTAGGTGGAGAAATAAAAGACAAAGTTGATAGGCTACTTTATCTATTTTGAAGACGTTTCGCTTTCGAGTTTTGAAAGCATCATCAGTTCATCTAAAAAAATTTTACAATATGAGAACCACACAATCATGGAAACGATGTTAATTGTTACCTTGAAAAGATATGTAGCAATGTTAATAACATTGACTGCTGATCCATCGTCAATGTGGGACTCTTTTCTTCATACTGCTATTACAACAATTTCTGATCATACAACCGAACAGCAGTTATACAGAAATCGACTAAAACCTTGGATTGACCTCTCAGCTACCCATTTAATTCGACATAGGCAAAAGCTTTGGCGAAGATATAAACTTTCTGGTTCCCTTGATGATTTTTTTGCCCACCGTAATTTTTCTAACCGAGTCAAACAATCTCTGCTAAAGTTAAGAACAGAATTTGAAGAATCTATCATTGCAAGTGGTAATAGTTTATCGGTACATTCGTACATCCTTATCTTCTAAAGTTTCCATACCATTACTTTAAAAAGCTGACGAGTCTTTATGTTACCATTCCTCGACTCACCTCCTTTTTCCTCAAACAATGTGCAGAATTTGTAGCCATCCCGATGTCTCTAATAATGAATGCTTCTTTTAATCAAGGTTCTCACCCCTCGTCCTGGAAATTGGCTTCGGTTAGTCCTATATTCAAGAAAGGAAATAAACTTGATTGTAATAATTATCGTCCAATCAGCCTGGTTCCTATTGTCTACATAGGTAATGGAATCGATTATTTCGAAAGCTATGTCTAAGTTTCTTCTTCAAGAAAATGTCATCCCTCGCCAACAGCATGACTTTATCAAAGATTGTTCAACAATCACAAACTTACTTCATTGTGTAAATGATTGGTCATTATCTTTAGACAATCTAAATCCTGTCGATGTAGTCTACTTCTTCTTCTTCTAGTTCCATGACCGTTATCGATCGTTGGATATCATGTTGGCTATCATATTCGCGATCGTGACTTTATTGACAGCAGCTCTAAATAACGATGTAGTTGATTTTCCATACCATTGCCTTAGATTTTTCAGCCATGATGTTCTTCTTCTACCAGGACCACGATTACCTTGGATCTTTCCCTGAATGATCAGATGTAAAAGATCATATTTTTCAGGATGTCTCATAATATGGCCGAAGTATTCCAGCTTGCGTTTCTTTATTATATGGACCAGTTGTGTTGTTTGGTTCAGCCGTCTAAGGACCTCCTCATTTCTAACTCTGTCGACCCAGCTTATTTTCAGTAGTCGTCTGTATACCCACATCTCAAAGGCTGTCAAGAGTTTAAGCATAGCCTCAGTTAGGGTCCACGCTTCTACTCCATACAGCAGGACAGGAAAGATGTAGCAAGATATCATGCGAACTCTAAGGTCAATGCTAAGATCGTGACTGCAAAGTACGTTTCTCATTTTTACAAAGGCAGCTTGGGCTTGTTCTATTCGGCTTTTAATTTCTGCGGTTGGATCTCAGCTCTCATTGATATTACTGTCGAGATACAGGAGTTTCTCTACTCTGTCCAGTGTGGCATCTCCGACTTTTATACCGTCATCATGTATATAATTTTGTTTGATAACTATCATATATTTAGTTTTCTTAACGTTGAGTTTTAATCCATACTGATCACAAGTCTGTTTTATTTTGTTCATTAGATTTTGAAGGTCTTCTCCGCAATTGGCAAGGACTAAGGTATCGTCGGCATATCTAATATTGTTGACGGTTACTCCATTCACAATAATACCTTCGGTTGTCTCCATTAAGGCTTCCTTAAATATTTCCTCCGGATATAAGTTAAAAAGTAAAAGCGACAATATACAGCCTTGTCTCACTCTTCTTTTTATATTTATTTCATCCGACAGTTCTTTTTCAACCTTTATTCTTGCCACTTGATGCCAGTATAGATTTGTAATTATTCGTAGATCTTTATCGTCCAATCCAGCTGTTTCCAATATTTCTAGCGTTTTGTTATGTCGGACTTTGTCAAAAGCTTTTTCAAAATCGATTGCACAAATATACTTAGACTTCGTAGTCTACTTAGACTTCTGCAAAGCTTTTGACCTTGTTCCAAACCGTCGATAGTAGCTAAATTGGATCACTATGGTTTCCGCGAAAAGTTAAACATTTGGATTCAAGATTTTCTATCCGACATAAACTTCAGGATTCGTGTTGGGGAAGCCCACTGACTAGATAAGCCAGTCAAGAGTGGAGTTCTGATCCGCAAGGATCAGTACTTGGACCGTTACTTTTTTGTGTCTACACTAGTGATCTTCCGTTCATTGTATCCAGTAAGGTTTCCATTTACGCTGATGGCATGAAATTATATGTGAATCCAACTATTAAGCAATATGTTCTTCAACAAGATGTTTGCGCAATATTTATTATTTTTTGTTTCACAATTCAGTTTTTGTATGATATTCTTAATTGTTTAACTTTAGTTAACATTATAATAATTAAAAAAAAAAAAAAATTGTTAAAATCCTTTATAAAAGGTATATAAAAATGCCTCAAACGGGCTATCACAAACACATTGCAAAACGTTTTCGGATTAAACAATCCATCATCAGTACAAACGGTTGTACATGCTAGTAGCCACCAAAATATATGGGTAAAAACCCTTTAAATGTTATAAATTTGAAATTGTTTTACATTATTAGTATTTCTAATTTGTGATGGTTAAGTTACCGTTGGATAGGTAACATGGCGGCGTATGACTCTACATGAGTAAAATGGTCCTGAGACCATTTTACCTGAGAAATTTTTTTGTGATATATGGTATACAGCCAGCTACAGGAACTTAGTTTCCTCGTGGAATTATAATAATTGGTATTAGTTTTATAAGGATATTTTTTATTTTTGTTTCTTGCGTTTTGGGCATAATAGAAGCTCGCTCCTCTGCCCTTATTTGTTATAAGTATAGCTTAGTTTTTATACGTTTGAATAACTTTTAAAACCCCTTCACATTTAAGATAATTGTTTCAGCTTTAAAAAAAATTTGATTTGCGGATTACTTTTTATTATTAAAAAGGTTATAACAATTTAAACATTAAACATTTCACTACTTTTTATTAAACTTTTCAAAAGGGACAATTTTCGTTTTGGTAAAATTAAATATTCTAATAGTTAAGGAGATACGATAATGTAAACAAATAAATTATTAATAACAAATTATCTGACGGCTTTTCAGCTTGGTATCCTCAAATTTCGGAGTAAGTCCTCCGATCGGGTCTCCGGGGAGGACAGTTTTGAGTTAACCAAAAGATAATAAATTGAAGTGCAGAAATAATATCAAGATCTATACATGGAATGTCAAAACTTTATACAAAGCAAAAAAAATCC